TGGTTTTTGTCCTTGCCTCTATTGATATAGTGTATTACATTGATTGATTTGCATATGTTGAACCATCCCTACATCCCTAGGATGAATCCCATTTGGTCAGGGTGTTTGATCTTCTTCATGATCCTTCTGCTTTCTGTTTGCCAGTATCTTATGAAGGATTTTTACATCTATGTTCATCAGTGAGATTGGCCTATAGTTCTCTTTTTCAGTTGGGTCTTTCTCTGCGTTGGGGCTCAAGGTGATGCTTGGTTCCAGGAATGAATTTGGGAGTATTGCTTCTCTTTCAATTTCATTGAAGAGTTTAAACAATAGTGGCAATAGTTCCTCTCTAAATCTCTTGTAGAATTCAGCAGGGAAGCCGTCAGGACCCAGGCTTTTATTAGTTGGTAAGTTTTTGTTACATTTTCAATTTCATTGATTGATATTGGGTTGTTTAGAATTTTTAGATCTCCTTCATTCAACTTTGGTAATTCGTATGTATCTAGCAATCTGTCCGTTTCTTCTGTGTTTTCCTTCTTATTGGCATACAGGTTCTGGAAGTAGGTGTTGATGATCCTCTGGATTTCTGCTGGGTCTGTTGTCATTTCACCCTTTTCATTCCTAATTGCATGGATTTGGGCCTTTTCTTTCCTTCTTCTCATAAGGTTGTCTAAGGGTTTGTCGATTTTGTTTATTCTTTTGAAGAACCAACTCTTGGCTTTGTTAACTTTTTTTTGTATTGTTCTCTTAGTCTCTGTTGCATTGATGTCTTCTCTAATCTTTATAATTTCCTCCCTTGTATGAGCTTTGGGTTTAACCTGCTGTTCTTTTCCTAGAAGCTTGAGGTTCAGCATTAGGTTGTTTATTTGAGCTCGCTCTGTTTTCCTACTATGAGTGAGTATTCACTGCTATGAATTTCCCTCTTAAGATAGCTTTTATTGTATCCAATAGATTCTGGTATGTTATATTATTATTGTCATTTAATTGTAGGAACTGTCTGATTTCTTCTTTCATTTCCTCTGTGACCCATTGGTTATTCAGAAGTGTGTTGTTCAGTTTCCATGTGTTTATGAAATTTTTGTGGTTTCTTTTGCTATTGATCTCCAATTTCATTGCAGTATGGTCTGATAATATACAGGGGATAACTTCAGTTCCTTTACACTTACTTAAACATGTTCTAGGAGTGAGTATGTGGTCTGTTTTGGAGGATGATCCGTGTGTAGCTGAAAAAAACTTGTATTCTGATTTTGTTGGGTGGATCACTGTAAACATCTGTTAAGTTCATTTGATTAAGTTTGATTGAATTCTACTATTTCGTTGCTTGTTTTTGTCTAGTTGATCTATTTATTTGTGAGAGTGGGGTATTGAGGTCCCCCACTACTATTGTATTAGTGTTTATATGATTTTTCATGTCAGTATTTATGTTATATAGTTGGGCACACTAGTGTTTGGTGCATATATGTTTATGATTGTCATCTCTTCCTCTTGGATTGTTT